GCCCCCCATGACCCTGGTGAGGATTAAGGTGTAGAGATGATGGATGGATGGTTCTGAGGCTTTTTTCATGGTTTGATTTATTTCTTCTGAAACAACAAGCGGAGATGGAGCAAATCAGTAGACGGTCACATGGATTAATAAGAAATAATCCGTCGATCACTGACGGACTCGTCTCCACGTTCAGTCTGAATCTAACAGACTTCATCTGAGTTTTATTCACGTGATGAGTTAGTTTTAGTTTTACAGAATCACCTCTGGAGGTGATGAAGAGTTGTTAATGACACACTTTGAGCTGAGATTTGGTCGTTTTTTTCTCATGAAACTGAAAGTCACAGACGAGTAGTTCAAGGACTGTTGGAAAGTTGAACATCTGAGGATTCTCTGTGGAGTTTCAGGGTCCAGATAATCAAACGAAGCAGAAAAATGGCAAATAAGTGCAAGAACAACATCAACTCATACTTTTAATTTACAGAACATTTAGTTTCCTCGTGTCACCGTTCTGACCACAGCATGTTTTACACTTTACTGCTTCTGCTGGATTCACAGAACCTCCCTCAGAGATCAGTAAAGTGTTTCTGTTCTGTGATAACCACAGTGCAGTGACAGCAGAGACGTTTAAAAAGAACATAACAAAGCTGCAGGACTGGAGGCTGTAGAGGACCTCCACCCTGACTGGTGACCAGTGGGACCAGCAGCACTTACTGGTTAAAGCTCCAGTGAGAATAAACAGAAGTCAGTTGTTTTTATTCTGCAGTGACACGGTGCAGACGTCAGCGTTTCACTGCTTCACTGCCGTTGATCCTCATTAGTTGTGTTTCTTGAGGAACTCCACAGTAACTGTGGGACCAGCGGCCTCCATCTTGGCTCCTCGCTGAGTTTCTGATTCTTCTTTTGCAAACACATTCCAGAGGCTGCTGTCCTCGAACAGCCCGGACCGAGCTTCTCCTGGAGGCCCAGGAGGTTTTCGCTTCTTATCGTCTCCTGGTTTCTTCCAGCTGCAGATCAGAGCTGCTCGTTACATAATCGCTCTTTTAAGGCGGAAATGTTTGTGCGGGCAGCAGGGTGGGAGCTGCATTCCTGCTCCGAGATGACAGGAAGAGACGCAGGAAGCAGCGGCCGCTTTATTTATTCCCTGAGCTGCTGCTGGACGAATTAAAGGCCTAAAGGCTGCGGGATGAACGGAGCCGGTCCTCTGGTCCGGTTCCACCAGGACCAAGCTCTCGGCTCCATGTGCTTCAGATTTGCTGTTCTGCTCTGGAATGTGCCTCAGATTTGGGTCAGAAAGATAAAATATAAAAGAGGCTCTGTGTGACGATACAAAGGAAACTAGCTGTGTGTTTGAGTGAAGCTCGGCTGGTTGTTGTTGTTGTTGTTGTCGTTGTTGTTGTTGTTGTCGGTCAGCGTTTGTGTGTCTGTGATTATGTGTTTGAGATAAACTGCAGCTTGTTGCCAAAAAACCATCAAGACGAGATAAAAACTGAATATTTTGCGCAGACAAACGGTACATAATTTGAATTCCAGCTTCCAGCTGAGGAATCTGAGTTCAGATCATATGTCGCCACGACAACCGGGTCACAGCCTCCACTCATTAACAAAATAACACGATAACGTACAACAATGCCAGTTTTAATGCAGTTATTCCTTAAATCCAACATTCTGGCTTCATTACAAACCCTGGTTCATTCTGTTCATCAGTCTAATTGTGAGATAAACGATAAAATGAGCTCCGAGGGGAACGTCTGGATGTGTCGCTGCTCTTCTCTCACTTCGTTTCACATTGAAGGATCCATCGTCCAGCAGGAATAATCCTCTGTGTGTGTTAGTCATTAATCTGTGGAGCTGAAAATGTGCTTTCAGATGAATATGTATTCAAACAACGCATTCTCCCTCCAACGTCCAGTTTTGTGCACTTAAAGGAACATTACGTATTTTAGTTTCCTGTCAGCTCCTCGAAAAGACAAAAATCTGGTATTTAAATATCTGCGTGGCATCTGAGAGAAAGCAGAGTTCAGATAAAGAGCTGATGTGGACAGAAGGCGAGCAGACGAGCACAAAATGTGACGTTACAGGACGACAGGCAGCTGAGCAGGCTGCACAGGAATGCAACACACACACACACACACACACAGGAAACAGGGTATAAACAGTGTGTGTGTGTGTGTGTGTGTGTGTACAAGAACGCAGGTTGGTGTGTACTTACACACACACACACACACTACAGCAGCCGTACAAAGTGTGTGTTGTTGGTATTTCCTGGTTGCCGAGCTCATTGTTGGACTTTTAAACGTTCTGTTTCCTGTCAGTCCGTCTTCAGGGATTAAATTACCCCTCAGACGTTGTTTTATTTCCCTCAACTTTAGGACAAACTCACAGTTTGTTGCTCGATGACATTATTATCCTTTGTTTTATTCTGCAGCGGAGAAGCTTTAACGTTTTCTTAGTTTTAAGCTCTATGCATCCTAAATTTAACCCTCTGAACTCCAACAGTCTCATTTTAACTCAATGAGGTTCATGCGTCACTAAAGTCCTGCAGCTCTGTGGAACCAGAACATGGAGGAGGAGGAGAGAGAACTCAGAGACGTGTTCTGTCAGCAGAACTCAGTTAGAACAATGGAGACCAGAGAGAAGAAACATACAGTTGAATTTTTTTCCATTATTTATTTTCCTCAGACGTTAAACATGTCGTCTCCTCGTTGAACTGCCTCGGTTGTTGTGAATTAGTTTCCAGACTCGCCTCCTGTCTGCTCTGTGGAAACACTGCCTGCAGTTCAACTGAGAAATACAGATTTTTTTTTGTTCTGTACAGACTTTTGTCAGAAAACAGTGAATTTCTAAATGACCAGAGAATAAAGTGGTTTGATGGCAGATGTTCAGTTAATTTGTGTTGCACAGAACGAGGACAGTGTTGAAAAGCTGAAGGTTTGTAATTGTGTTCCTCGTTGGCCAGATCTGCCTCAGAAAACAGATTTTATTCAGTCCTGGTTAAATAAGGGGCTGCAAGGTGGATCGGTGGTTAGCACCGTCGCCTCGCAGCTAGAGGGTCGCCGGTTTGTGATCTTTTTGCGTGGAGTCTCCATGTTCTCCCCGTGCAGCGTGGGTTCTCTCCGGGTTCTTCCTCCCACAGTCCAGAAACATGCTGAGGTTAATTGGTGATTGTAAATTGTCCGTAGGTGTGAATGTGAGTGTGCTTGGTTGTCTGTCTCTAAGTGTAGCCCTGTGATAGACTGGTTACCTGTCCAGGTGAACCTGCCTTCACCCTGAGTCAGCTGGGATAGACTCCAACCCCCCACGACCCTAGTGAGGATTAAGGTGTAGAGATGATGGATGGATATTTAAATAAGGTTTAATAAATGTACAGGGAGCAGTGACACAGTCTGGAAGGACTTTGATGCCGCTTTAGAGACTGGAAAGGAATCATGATGGTGTCGCTCTGTTCAGAGGTTCCACGGATCCAAGGCTCTCAAGTTAGTGCCTCAATGTGCCTCAAGTTTCTCTGAATCAGCTCCAACTAGAAAATCAATAAAGGACCAAGTGCAGGTCATAAACCCTGGTGGACTCCAGTTTTACCTCTGAAACTGTCTTCAGGTTGTAGTTTGGTCGTTTAATGAGAAAAGCAGGACTCTGAGCTGCTCGTGTTCTGGTCAGAGTTAAAGGTTCTGGTTCTGGCTGTTGTTCTGTCGGTGTCCAGCAGAGACGCTGAGCTCTGGATGTCTCTACTCTGAGGTCATCCGCCGTCGGAGGGGATTTCCTCATGTAGGTGTTGGTTTCTGAGCAGCAGGAAACACTGATTCTGTTGGTGTGTTTCTGAACACCGACCATCGTCCGGCTGCACACGCTGAAGATTCATCAGCTCAGTGTTTAAACCAGAACCCAATGAGGGAAACTTCTGTTTAAAGGGTTCTGATAATAACTCATCATCACAATCAGCACATAAAACCTCACAGTTCAGCTCCTGTTACTGAAGTGACTATAAGCTGAGAAGCATTTTGTTTGCAGAAAATAGTGATTTCATCAAATCTGTGCCTCATTTTGGAGAGAAAAGTGAAGAAACTCATTAATTCTGTTGCTGTTGGTTCTGAAAGATGTTGTCAATCTGGGCAAAGGCCAGTTTTTTGACACGAAAACAGATGAAACAACGTCTTGTTGGATAATAAACGAACCCTGTGTGCAGAAACAGATGAGATGCAGCAGGTGACAGAATAAAATCTAATTTTTAAATTGCACACAACTGATGGAGAGAAAATACCAAAGTGGTGAACCAGCATTTTTCTCATGGTGACCTACATACCTTTATGGTGACCCACCTGTCTGCAGGGGGCGGAGCTTCACGTGCCCCACCTGAGGGTTTGACTGACTGAGGAAAATAAGCAAAAGGGCAAATAATAAAACTAAAGAAAAAAAAAAAAGAAATGTCCAACACTGTACAGATATTTTACTACTTTAATTTTACATTTGTCTCCTCTCTGCCTGCAGTTCATCCTAATGGGCACATGTTTTTCATGTGACTGCTACAACATGGTTTTTACCTGATCTGTGCAGAATAACATGATTTTAATGAAACATTCATGTTTTTCAAAGGATGAGAAGTTCAAGGACTGTTGAAAAGTTGAAAATCCAACAGGTTCGATAAATGGGGTTCTTTTGAATTAGACAACGACAAAATGTCTTTCAAACCAGTTTTATTGACGCATCAGCTGATGAAACCAGGATCACAGAGAAGAGTTTCTCATCACGTCTTTGTGTTTGTGTCTTGCAGGAGATGGCGGTTCGAGCTCTGAAGCAGACAGGAAGCAGAAACATCGAAGCAGCTTTAGAGTACATCAGTAAAATGGGCTACCTGGATCCTCGCAATGAGCTCATCGTCCGTGTCATCAAGCAGACCTCACCAGGTGAAAGTTCTACCTGCTCCCAGTCGTTTCTGTCCTCTGAATGATTCCCTGCAAGTCTTTGTAACCGTCATTGGCAGGATGTTGGATTTATTTGCTGTAATGTTCTTATTCTTGTAGGTAAAGCTGGTTTACCAAACTCTTTGGACCACCGACCCCCCTTGGAGGCTTCAGGTGAGGCGGCTGCTATGGCTCCATACCACCAGATGGGGGCGCCCCTGTACGACGGGGCAGCAGGGTATGTTGCTGAGGGGGAGATGTCCAGAACCTACCTGAGCGCTCCGCCCGTGATGAACTACATGATGCCTCCGTCTGGAGCAGGTCAGGGTCCAGCGATGGGAAACCCAATGGGTCGCCCCCCCAGTATGGGCTCCTACCCCCCAGTGATGCCCCAGAGCAGCCCGGCCGGCACCATGTTCCCCCCGGGGGCCCAGCCCAAGGCCTACCCTGGCACCATGGAGCAGCATGGTCCCATGATGAGCTACAACGTACCGGGTCTGCCTCTACAGCTCCAGCCGCAGCCACCAGGTGGCGCCGGGACGCACTACGACTACGGCCACGGCCGGCCCCACCTGATGGAGCCGGCGGGCTACGGAGTGAAGAGGACCCCCTCCTTCCAGAATAAGATGGCGGCACCCCCCATGGCGCCCCCAGACAACTATGTCAGCATGCAGGGTAAAGCCGGTCTGGGTCAGAACGGGCCGGGACCAGGGGGAGGGTACCCTGCTAACTTGTACCTGCCCCCCCACTCCCACCCCCGACAGGCTAGCCCCACCTCCCACCAGGTCCACCTGATGTCCCGATCCCCCGGCGGGGTGGCGGCCATCGGACCAGACTTCTCGGACCTGCCTCAGGGCTTGATGACACCTTCCAGAGCCAGCCTGAACTTGGACCTGTACGAGCACCACTGGGCTGGACCTCCAGGCCCAGAAGGAGCCCCTCCGGCCCGGCAGCCTCAGCCCCAGGGTCCCTTCAGGGGGGAGGTACGGGTCCCTAGCAGAACCAACTCCTTCAACAGTCGGTCTGCGGGTCCAAACGGTGTCCGGCCTGCGATGGCGGCGCCACCTGCAGCTGGGAAGCAGGATCCAGCGCTGGGCCCCCCAAACACCATCACCGCCGTCACGTCCCCACCGATCCAGCAGCCGGTGAAGAGCATCCGAGTGATGAGACCGGAACCAAAGACCGCGGTGGGCCCATGCCACCCAGGCTGGATGGCTCAGGAAGCAGCAGAACCTCTGGGCTTCATGCCGGAGGAGACCTTCTCCCTGGAGCCGGCTCAGGAGCCCCGCTGCCCTCCTCCTCCATACCCCAAAAACCTGCTCCTGTCCGGGGCCACCGCTGAGCCGGGAGCCCTGGAGGGAGCCATGTGTGGAGCTCCGGACCTGAGCGGCTCCGCGGCCAGAAGCTCACCCGGAGGCAGCGGGAAGAACGAGGAGAACCAGCAGGTGAAGGAGAAGACGAAGCTGGGAAAGGGAGAGAAACCGGTGAAGGACAAGAAGCAGATCCAGACGTCTCCGGTTCCCGTGAGGAAGAACGGACGAGACGAAGAAAAGAGGGAGTCTCGGATCAAGACCTACTCGCCGTTCGCCTTCAAGTTCTACATGGAGCAGCACATCGAGAACGTGATGAAGACCTACCAGCAGAAACTGAACCGCAGGCTGCAGCTCGAACAGGAGATGTCCAAGGTGAGAAACGGCCTCCAGTTCAGTTCTGTTGATACAGAACCGGTTCACATCACAGAGTAACTAGAACCTGCTGAGAAAACAGAGAAACACAACAAGTCCACCTTTAAACAGGCTCATTTCCTGCTTTGTAAAACAAACAAGTTCAAAGTTACAGATAAACGACTGAAAACTGGTTTTTGCTGTGATAACGTTTCACGTTTTGTTTAACGTCTGTAAGCAGGATTCAGTAGAACTCAGCAGGAGGTTCATGTTTCACTCCAAACAGCTGACGTTGGACTTATGGAGACACTGAGAGCGTTTGAGACTCGGTGGAGACGAACATTCGTTTTTTGTGTCGAGCTTTGTTAGTTGTGATTTTTTTTTTTCAGCATTGTTCCTTCTTATAAAAACCTCCATATTTACAGATTTTTCATCTATAAAACCAGTAAATCTTCTCTGAAGATTCCGTCTCATTCAGTGTCTGGAAGATGGTCTTCTTGTGTTTTCAAGATTAGAATCAGTGAAGATTCTTAATTTGAATCTCAATGATGGACTTCAACTGGAGGATCTGCTGCTGAAGTTCTTGTTCCTGGAGATCAGGATGAGTTTGCAGCAGTGACGTACTGGAGTTTTAGACAACCAGAGCTTTGTGTTCAGTCTGACGTTTGCATGAACCACCCTGAACCCTGACGCTGACCTCCGACCTTTTCCTTTGAAGCGTCTGAAGGTGTTTTTAGGGAACAGTTAGTGTAAAGGTTGGGCTCATTCCTGCTCATTAGTAACCAGATGTTTTCAGCTGCTTCTTAAAGGTTTGTGTACTCGTTGTGTTTCCTCCTCACACCTGCAGGCCGGCCTGTCGGAGGCTGAGCAGGAGCAGATGAGGAAGATGTTGAACCAGAAGGAGTCGAACTACAACCGACTCCGACGAGCCAAAATGGACAAATCGATGTTCGTGAAGATCAAGACGCTCGGCATCGGTGCTTTCGGAGAAGTTTGTCTGACGCGTAAAGTCGACACTGGAGCGCTGTACGCCATGAAAACGCTGCGAAAGAAGGACGTCCTGAACCGCAACCAGGTGAGCGCAGACATTTCTGATCATATAAATCAGATGAACCGTGTTGATCCCTCATCAGGAAACGTAACAGCAGCTAGATGGAACAGAGATGAAGAAGCAGGACAAGAAGTACAGTGAGGATAAAAATAAAGATGTGAACAGCTTTTACAATAATAATAATAACTTTATTTGTACTTTTCAAAACAACGTTTTTTTTTTACAATAAAAGAACATCAAATTAGACAAATAATGGGAAAAAAAGTCACTATTCATAGACATTGGACAGTAGGAGGACGGTCCTGCTGGTCTGGAGGGGTTAGCCTTTAGCCTAGCATGGATCCCGGCTCCCTTCCTCTTCCTTTGTCTACATTCGTACCATTTGCGCTTCCTTCTCTCTCGGGTAGCTGCCAGTGTAGTCTCCGATCGGACTCCGTGTTGGTGTAGTATGTCCACATCACAACCGATCACCGCAATTTTAGCTCTGTTTATTGTCCTGATGATGGTGATGATGATAAAGATGCTGCTGTGGTGTGACCTCAGGTGGCCCATGTGAAGGCAGAGCGTGACATCCTGGCGGAGGCCGACAACGAGTGGGTGGTCCGTCTGTACTACTCGTTCCAGGACCGCGACAGCCTCTACTTCGTCATGGACTACATCCCTGGAGGGGACATGATGAGCCTGCTCATCCGGATGGGCGTCTTCCCAGAACCTCTGGCCCGGTTCTACGTGGCCGAGCTGACGCTGGCCATCGAGAGCGTCCACAAGATGGGCTTCATCCACCGCGACATCAAACCCGACAACATCCTCATCGACCTGGACGGACACATCAAGCTGACCGACTTCGGTCTGTGCACCGGCTTCCGCTGGACCCACAACTCCAAGTACTACCAGAAAGGTGGGTTTTGGTTCTGGACTCATGGAACCTGCAGCCTGCTTGACATTCTGTGTGGTTATTTACAGAGAACTCTTCATACAAATCAAATGCAACACAAACTTCTTCACAGCTGATTAAATAAAACGTCATCACGTAGCGAGGAAACAGCAGGGAGCTCAAAGGAGACGAAATAACACGAATAAAGAACACGTCTAATGTTAGAACGTAAGCAGGCAGGTGAAGGGACTTCATAAAAACAATGTCAGAAAGTGAATATGTAGAGAAATCCATAAAGGAGTTTCAAGAAAATAATGAATGACTAAAATCAAATCCATCAAAAGTCTGACTGAAGAGATTGTTGGGTTCAGCCTCAGCAGCTCGCCTCTCTGCTGCTCTTCACAGATCTGGACCAAAACAGCTAAATGCTGCCTGGTTCTGGTTCTGACTGTAGAAGACCAGATGGTTCTGGTTTGTTGTTCTGCAGCAGAACCCTGACCGGACTGGAACGTGTGAAGATGATTCTAAAGGAAACAAAGTGGAACATGTTGGTTTAACGTCCACCAGCTTTCTGATGGTCTTTAATATTTATCAGCTTCAGTTTGAAGGACGTGGAGACAAGAGAACTACAGATCGATTATTAAGGGCTGCAGATTATTGATGATCAGAAATATGAGAACTGAGGGACATTGAATGTTCTTTGTGAAGATCCTGTCAGTCATAAGCTGGATTCTTCATTAATGACATGATTATAACTGAATGCGTTCAGCAGAAACAGGAGCGACGGCGTCATCGCAGGATGTTACAGCCTTCTCCTGTTCACTGATCGATCGATTAGTTCAGATCAATAACAGTTTGTCTCCTGCTGTTCTTACTCTGTTTATATTCTGTCGCTTTTATTTCCCACCTAAAACACCTTTGATCATTTACACTCTGTTTCAGTTTAATCCGTGGCTGCCTGTAGCTTAGCTGCTAGCTGCTAGCTGTTAGCGTAGCATCAACCACTGTTACTGTCTGTTGCGTCACTGTGTTGTGCTACTGAGTTGTGTTCCTGTGTGCAGGCAGCCACGTCCGACAGGACAGCATGGAGCCCAGTGACTTCTGGGACGATGTCTCTAACTGTCGCTGTGGCGACCGGCTGATGACTCTGGAGCAGCGAGCCAATCGGCAGCACCAGCGCTGCCTGGCCCACTCTCTGGTGGGGACCCCGAACTACATCGCCCCGGAGGTGCTGCTGCGCAAAGGTGGAAACACATCGACACACAGAATCACACAGCACACAGGTTGATGCTGCCAGTCCGCTGAGTGTGAGATCCTGGTGTGGGTCAGATGGCTGACACCAGGGATCTGTAGCTTAAACACGACAACCAATGAAAACAGTGTTGGTCCAGTTCAGTCACAGAAGGCACAAAATGTGTCTGCAAAAAAACTAATAATATGAAAGTCTATCTGTAAAGTCACTTCCTGTGTGTACGTTTGTATAGTGAGGTCACTTCCTGTGTGTA